CCCCCCCTCCCTTGCACAGGGGCCATGCTAAAAAAAATTGAACCATGGGCCTCACTCCACTACTCTTCTCGAAATGTGCGAAACGAGAGTGAATCTTCGGCTAGAACATGGAGAGACACACCGCCATGATTTTTGTCTTTTGTGCATGTCGAGAGTAGTGGAGCGAGGCCTCATTTCTCGATTTATGCGTGTCATCCTTGTGCAGGGCCCATGCCAATCCTCTCTGTAGTGTTCCAATTTGATTTGAATGGATGTGCCGAAGCACTTGGGGCGTTGTTGTTGTTGCTTAAACGAGGAATGATCGCTTTCATGCATGGCACAATCGCAACTTGAGGTCATCTATAAGTGTTTAGTGTTCGGTGACTGTCTTTTTGTTTTTGTTTTTTGGGTGCAACTGTAATCGACAGTCGAACTGGTCAGTTGGAGATGGGAGTCGAATAGGCCAAGCAATGGTGGATGGCATCTCATTTGCTTCACAAATGTGCCCTCTGTTTTTCCGTCGAGGAATCTACAGTCCTCCCCCGACTACAAAGTACAGTCATTATTGCTGAATTTGGGGTATCTTTCAGTCTACATACAGCTATAATGATCGTACGTTGTATTCGGGGGAAGAAGGTAGTTCCTGTTCTTCGTAGGTACCCTGGAATTCTGCCGCGGTTTGTGCCTCGCTTGTACCGTCTGTCGTGTTTCATTTGTTTCACAGAAACTCTGTGCGCTTGCAGTTCAGGGACTGCGGAGTCGTTTGCAAGACCCACCTGGTGCTTGTGGTTATTCTGTGGAGTGGTATTTACTGAGGTAGGTACTCTTGTGGCAAATGATGTTTTCTGCAAACTGGTTTGGTCACTTCAGTCTTTCACAGGTTTTCTCTTTTAACTCTTATGCTGCTGCTGCTGCTGCTGCTACTAGCCCAGTGGATAAGCCTTTTGTGGAACACATTTTGATTCGCCTTTGCTTTGACAAGGATGGATGTCGGATGGTGAATTAGCTGACGCTTCTTACCTGACCGGTGATGTACGAAATACTTCATTGAATGGATAATCCTTTTCGCTTTATGCCGATCTTGGAGAAGCGTTTATTACAGCCCTTGAAAATCACCACTGCGTCAAATATGCGGATATATCCCACTTATCCACGATTACACAGTGGGTCACCCGCCACAGAGCTTACTCACAAGTCGCAACCACAAAAAGATGCTGCAAATTAGGAAGAAATGTGAACGTGCTGCAAGCCGCAGTGGCTTGAATTGCACCCTGTAAGTCGTGTGATTGGAGTTCCAACTATGGGCCTGACTCCCCTACTCTCACTCCACTACTCTCGAAATGTGCAAAGCGAGAGTGAATCTTCTGCCAGAACATGGAAATTGTACACCGCCATGACTTTTGTCTTTTGTGCATGTTGAGAGTAGTGGAGGGATGCCCTATATAAGGTAAGTGCTNAGGCAGCAGCTTCTGCCAGAACATGGAAATTGTACACCGCCATGACTTTTGTCTTTTGTGCATGTTGAGAGTAGTGGAGGGATGCCCTATATAAGATAAGTGCTGAAGCAACTCCTTGCTGCAGGCAGCAGCTTTAGAACGGAGCTTGCTACGGCGAAACGACTTCTGCCGTCTGCCGTCAAAGAACCAGTGCATATGAGCCTGCTTTTGACCTTTCCGCTCGAATTCAGAGAGTTGCCAGCTCTCTTTTAAAGGTGCAGGAATCTACTGAGCATCGGAGCATAGGCAGGCCTTGCATCCGGTTATGTGGCAGGTTCGCACTGCCCGCCCAAGCGTTTTGCCAAACTGCCCGCGGCACACTTTTTTTCCTTTTTTGGGTGGATAGCCAGCCATTGTGGTCCAGTAGCCCCGCCCCAAACAAAATTTTAAGATGGACTCGGTTACGATTCTCAAGTTTGCCTGGGCGGGCGATGTGATTGCACTGTAATGGGCCGTACCTTTGAACTTCGAAAACGAACCGCCCTTATCTAGAAAATTTCATGGAACACTAAAAGACCTGACCTTTCTTAAAAAAGTTGAAAAAACCTTTCAACTTCATACTAGCTCGTAGTGTCGAGCTTTGGCCAAACGTTGGGATAAGGGTCATCTCATGCCCTGATTGGAGGAAATCAGGGGATTAACTAGCTGCCAGAGCTCTGTGTTGGATAGAATGATAGGCTGCCCCTTTATCTTTTTGTAGGGCAGCCAGAAAGGATCCCTACTTTACTGGCTGCCAAAAGTAGGGTTCCTTTCTGGCCGCCCTACAAAGGGTTCCTTTCTGGCTGCCCTGCAAAAAAAGGGACCCATGCAAAGCTTAGTTTTGTATGCGCTTCCCCTCTTCCATACCAGGCCAACTGCACCAAAATACAATTATCTGGAGGAGAGAGGAGATCTGGAAATTCTGCTGCAGGTCTCGAAGTTCATAAGCGCTCTATATGTTTATCCAATCCACAAAGACCAAGTGCATCCCTTGATGCTTAGATGCACTTTCATCTATTTTTAGTATTTGACTCATCTGCTTCCAATGGAGTTCGAACGCCGGTCTGTGTTTCAACGGCTAGGGGTGCACCAACTGGGCTAGGCCTTTCCCCTCTATTTTTGCATAAATTGCCCTTTAGTTCGGGATGCTCGGACGTTGTCCTTCAAAAGCCTTTTGAAAACATCGACTGCCTTTCCCTTTGGTTCGTACGACTGTCTAATTTTCTTCGCTGTAGATTGCCGTTCCATCAAGATGTTAGATTCGATGGTAGTATCTGGAATGATGACCGCCTTAATCCACCACTCCGCCCGCCACCGAAAAAATTGGGGGACTGGTAGCACAAGTTACATGAGGGATACGGTAGTATAGTGTGGAGAGCCGTTAGAGTGGCAAAAATGGATTTTGCGCCGAATCGGCGCAATGATTATTTCATTTTAGTTTTTTTGACATTTTTCCTGGGAAAGATCACGACCATATCTCCCGGATCTGAAATTTTCAGACTTTTTGGAACATTATTCTGAGTGTGAAAAATCGCTGAAGTTGGAGTACTTTTCCTTTGGCCCGCAGGTGGGAGAGTGGCCAAAAAGGAAAATGCAATGAATCAGTGCGGTGAGTATTCACCGTCTAAACAATTTTATTTGTTTTTTTCCAATATTTTTCCCGAAAAGATCTCGACCAAATCTACCGGATCTCAAATGTTCAGAATTTTTGGTTCATTCTTTCGAGCGCAAAAAATCGTCGATCAAATCAAATAGATTATTTTAAATATCTACCGGATCTCAAATATTCAGAATTTTTGGTTCATAAATCGTCGATCAAATCAAATAGATTATTTTAAACTTGAAGTTCGCGCTTTTATCTTTTTTTTTTTCTCTGACCTGCGCTTGAATTGCTGCCGACCTCTGCTTCTTCCGGGCTATTGGCCTTTGAAGGTCCTGGAAAGCCAATTTTTCGATGTCGGAGAGAGTGTCGTATCCAGAGTAACGCTGGACCCGGCTTCCAGCAGGTGCAACTCCCCACCAATAGATGGAGCCTTCAACTGGGGGGGCACTTCGGTAGGATGCTCTTATCACCCCTCCCAAAGTTTTCAGAAAAAAAGAAGTTAGATTGGATAAATTCTGTGATTCTCTCGTATACTCCTGGGCCCTCCAGCATGACATCCTCCCATTCGCGAGTGCACCTAATTGTCCATAGCGCACCCATAACACTGCCCTCCTGGCCATAAAGAACCAGTTAGCTATGAACCCTTCCTCTTATGATGTGTTTTGTGCTGTGTATTATGTACAGGCAGTATGGTTCTTCAGTCCGACACCAGCCACGTTCCCCCGTCGGCCATTTTCATTTTCTATCCGACTGTCTTCATAGGAGCACTGCACGGGGCCACGAAAGAAACAACTGGTCTACTGGTTTTCTGATTTTTCTATGGGTGAGTCCTGCTTGGTAGGTTCTTTTTTTTGTTTATTTGTTTTTGGCAGTATTTGCACAGGGCAGTGCAATGCCCTTTTGCTCAAGATGTGTGTGACCAATCAACCAATCCCTCATCCATGCAGTAGTTGGCATTTGAGGGCTCATGTTTTTGCCGGTTATTCCTAT